GGAGATCGGAAAATCAATCTATGCGTGATCTGGATGCTGAGAACCTGAACCTACATCACGAGAAGATGTAGCGCACGTATGCGTCAGTATTTGAAAGGTACTGAGCATGTAGGATATAATAAAATTGAAATAAAACATAACTGAACAAGCACAAAAGCAAGTATAATAATCTGAACATAATATACTGAATTCTGAGTTAACTAGATGCAATGACCAATTTATAACATGCTGAAACTGAATACTGAATATACTGATAAATGAACAATGTAGAGAATCTGATTGAACTGTGGGAGCTACTAATAATCGATAATAAAATCACATGAGCTAAATGTGGAGTCTGATGTATATGCCCCATCGAGAGGACCCAATATACCCTGCCAAAGGTATAAAGCATGCTGGCGTGATCACTAAACTGATTGCTCAACATAGGGGATTTACAACCTACTTGGCTAGTACTTCTGGGACTATTGGGTACGTTGAACCCTAGTCCAACTCAATATTATGCTACTCATATTGATTTATGTAGTTAACTGATAAAATCTGAATTTTCTGTAAATACTGGATAGCTCAAAACTAAATATTCAAACTGAGAATGCAACATTTAATATAATAATGATGCATTAAAAATTGAAGCATGTGTAAGTGCATAACTGAAATATCTGACCTAGCATGTGTATTTCAAGAACTAAAGAAATACAAAGCTAGGGTTCTGAAATTCATGCAATAAAAAATCTGAGTAATAACATGATAATCTGATTTGGAATATATATTTTAACTAAATCATGAAGTTATGCTGTAATTCTAGGAACCCTCAGTTTAATCATGATAAAAGAATCAAGAACTGACTAAAAACTAGGGACTCAATGGGTAAAAGGAACCCACTAGTGAAATCCCACATACCTGGTGATGAAATTCATGGAGAAACACTTATATTTTGTCACTGGAACTGCTGGAAACTTGCTTCATTCTTGAACTAGGGTTCTTGAGCTTTTTCTCCTTTCTTGCTTCTAATTTTTTAACTTTTGATTTAATGATTTGACTTAGATAAATTTTAGTTATGTTTCTAGGCTTAAACTGACTAAAATATGATGATTTAGGGTCAACACGACGTATTTTAAGGTTTAAACAAAGTGAAAAAAGACCAAAAGACCCCTGGGTAAGTTGTTGTCGGACCAAACGATGGCCAGGACAGACGGTCCGTCGTTGGGTCTGTAGGTTGGGCCTGTTCGACAGACTTTTACTAAAACAGGCATAACGTTTTACTCGGACGTCTGATTTTAGCAAGGTCAGTGGCTATGGAAATCTAATTCAATTATCTATCTGTGGGTAGGTCATGGGACACCTAATTCATTTTTTACTAAGAGTTATGACCATTTGAAGCTGACCCAACTGCATTTCCCCCTTAACAGTCTGTTAATTCAAACCTACGGTCAGACCTATGGACCATGTTGGTCATCCATGGCTCTTTTTCAGGGAGTGGATGAATAGTGGTCTCTATCGACGGTCACGTACTACGGACCGTCATCTGACCTACGGACCGTAGGTCCGTCCGTCGATCAAGACGGTCCGTCGATGGTTACGTTAGTTGCACCTGCAGATTTTTCTAAAAAACTAATTTTTTGTCTATTTTGGATACGGGGTGTTACAACACTATTCGTCTCTCTAGATTACAAATAAGTGTAAATTCAATTATAATATAAAAATAGATTGATCTCACTAAAATATTAGTTCCTCCGTTTAATAAAGAATGATCATATTTCCTTTTTAGTCTGTTTCAAAAAGAATGTCCCCTTTCCTTTTTTGGCAACTCTTTAACTTTAACTTTTTAAGTGGCATGTTTAGGACCATAAGATTAAAGAAAATTTTGGTACATTTGACATAATTTTAATTTCGAACCTCAAAATTAAAAAAAAAATCTTCTTTTCTTAAACTTTGTTCCAAGTCAAACTAGGTCAACCTTTTTGAAGTGGAGGGAGTAATAATATACTAATACTTCAATTAATGATATTACTTCTTCCGCCTCTCAGTTACATAATTAGTAATATGTAAATATGTAGTAAATATATGCTAACAAATGAAATAACATCTAACTATGAAATAAATAAAAAATAATGCCATAATACATATATTGGACCTTAAACTTGGCTTCAAATTTTAACTTTGACCTCAACTTTCATAATACACCAATAAGCACTATAACTATCCTATCTTTCAATAAATAAACACGCTCTCGAGCCAAAGTGCGTGAAATGCAAACGCTCCCATGTGTATTAGTGAGCCAACCACTGACTGCCAACTAATTAAACATTTTACAAGTGTTTTTAAAAAAAAAAATATTTTACATGTCATTTTGAAACTAAAAAAAATTATAAAAGAGATTCATTAAGGGTAGAATTGTCATTTCAATATTTTTTTACCGTTTTGAGCCTCGAAATTACCCCTCACTCCGCAAAATGCGTGCATTTCACGCATTTTGCCAGGTAGAAATCGCGTGTTTATTTATTGAAAGATATGATAGTTAAAGTGCTTATTTGTGCACTATGAAATTTGAGGTCAAAGTTAATATTTGAAGTCAAGTTTAGGAATCTAATATATCTATTATGCCAAAAATAATCTATAGCTTAAGAGCACACACGTAAAATTAGAAATAATACTCACTATTATATAGAAATATCAAGATTAGAAAATTACTCCATAATAGAAAAGGTACCACTAAAGAAAATATTCTTCTCCATAAAATAAGAAAATAAAATAAATATTCAAAGAAGAATAAGGAGGAACTAGGATAATTTCAACATCAAATAACTAAATAATAGTACAAGAAGAATTTGGCGGAATGATCTGGTAAACTCTTATACTTGTATCGATTTGTATTCTGAACCTTTCTTAGGCATCAACTGGTTGTTGTGCCCACACTTCATAGCACTTGCAGCAAATCTCCTAATTGTACTTCCTAGCCAAAGTCATCAAAGAAGGCTCAATAATTCCTCGACGAAGCCTCAAAGGTAAAGTCGACTTTTGCTCGATGTAAGTGGCGGATTCAGGATTTGAAGGTTGTGGATGCTCACTTTCTTTAACATATACCTTATATAGTGACGGATTTAGAAATTTTGTATTTTGTGTGCTCAACTATTTTTAGTTCGAAAATTTCTACATATAATGGGTGCTCAATTAATATATATTTCAAGTGTATTACTAAATTATGTACAGAAATAATGATGTTGTCACAAAAAGGCACTGGGTGCTTAAGCACCCATAAGTCACTACATAGGTCCGCCATTGCTCGATGTTATAGTCAGCAAGAGTGCGACCATCCTCTAGCTAGTTGCACACCATTATTATTTTTTTCCTCCTCCAACCACCACAGTAACAACCTCTTCTGTGAAACTCATCGAAATCTACCCAACATTCTCCTGAGATTTTTATTGGGTTATCAAAATCGGTTGAAAAAGACAAGTTTAAGGGATTAGAAGGAGACTATGTTGTGAAAGATTGAAGATTGGGACCTGCAAACTCCCATCTCCCTCTTCTCGGCGTACCCGAAAACCCCTTCGTTGGTCGCCGCCTCCAACATCGCTCCCTATATATCAAAAAACGGACAAGCCATCTCTCTCTCACACCACTGATAATAACTTGATGTCACCTAAGTGTCAGTTTCAAAATCTGGCTAAAGAAGATAACTATAGTGTGGATGATAAAAAAAGAAGAGGTTAGGCAGCGATGTGTGGGGGTTGCTAAAAAAGTGGTGTGGTGAAGAAGAAAGATAGATTCTTTTCTTTTTTTATTTTTGTATTATATAATTTTAATAATTTAAAATTTAAAGCTTAAAAAATATGATGTTCACTCGCTTTAAATGTGTGTAGTCATGCTCTCCCGCCAATTCAGCTTTTGCAATGTCACATAAGCATGGTCAATGGTCAGAGGTGTTTAAAAATATCATTTTAATTGCGTTTAAGGGTCCAGATGGCAAAAAGATAAGTAGAAAGGTTCAGAATACAAATGGATACAAGTATAAGGGTCCACCAGACCATTAGGCCGAAGAACTTAAATAAATATATGTATTGTTTTGTTTCAGCCCCTCTTTACTGCTTTAACAACTTATTTCTCGTGTTATTTATAGTCATTTTCTAAAGATGAAAATCACTCTTTTCTCTTAATTTGTCGACTTGCAAGTTGAAATTTTTGACATTAAAATGGTAACTCCAATGCACTCCAACATTTGAAAAGTTTTCTTACTAGCTTGTCTTTTGCTTTGTTTTCCACTTTAATGGCTATCATGCTATTATATTTTTCAAATTTTATCATCCATATTTCCTGCATCTTTCTTTAATTTTATTTCCCTTATTTGTTTCTTTCCATTTTTAGCTTATGAGTTTCACAATATGTCCAACTCTTTCCTACATTTTCACAATTTCTTGTTCCTCTCTTTCATAATTTCTTAATATCTTCATTTGTGTCGGATAATTTCTTGTAAATCAGCACTTGTATTTTCTTGTCATATATCTACTTAGTTGATGTTTTCATACTATATACTTCAACATTTTCTGCAAACAAAGATTAGAAATAATTGGTAGTAAAATTAAATAAAAATTTAGTGTATATATAATATTTTTTAAATCATCATTTGCACGTACTTAATTAGTTCTACGAAATAGAATAGAAGCACCAACTGTTGCTGCCTATTTCTCTAGACAAAGAAATTTGCGGTATGTTGTGCTACTCCTAGTAATGGATGAATACCATCCTTACTCTTCCCTTTTTCTTAAACATAGTTTATATACATAATTAAAGTCGAAATTTATATTTTTAATATCAAATTTCACTTGATTATTTAACGTTTTGTTAAACATAAACCAGCGATTTTACTTAGAGAATTCACAAATTTAAATATTTTTAACATTAACCAATTTAAATTAACTGACAAATCATAAATAATTTCAAAAAAAATATACTTAGATGCTTGCACTGTAATTGCTTACTTAATAAGTCGCACGATGAAATAACTTGTAGTAAAACTTTGTGCTTGTTTTTATTAGTAATAATATTATTGTTGTTACTATACTATCTTCAACAAGAGTACAAGACCATGACACAAATACTTAAAATATTGGTACAAAGGCAATAGATGATCTTTCTCATTCTCGATTTAATCTGAAATTTCCGCGAAATTTGGCTTTATAATCACCCCAAAGTTGATCAACTGTCTTCCCTAGTAAGTCAACAAAGAACTGATCACTATAACCATTTTTCATTTTCTTATTAAGTTCTGCCACAAATCCATTTCTCAAGCTGTTGCAGTAATTAAGAAATTGAGCAGTCACGTCGTAGCCTTGGTCCCAACGATCGCCCTGGCCTGGTTTCACCCAGTGGCTTAGGCCAAGACCAGCTTTGAGCCTCACATAATCAGCAATCCCTTCAATTAATCCTCCGGGCGCCCTATTGTTCCCATCACAATTCCAAAAAGAATGATACATTTTTATATATACGTTATTATTTGTTTGTTTGTTTTTTTGGGAGGGGGAGGGGTATGTATTTGGAGTTTAAGACTGTAGAGAATAGTAGAAGAAAGGCATAATACATAAATGTGTCCTTTAACTTGGCTTGAAATCATATTTATGTCCTTTAACTTTGGATGTGCATAAATAAACACTTAAACTAGTATAAAGTTGAACAAATAGACACACGTGTCCTACATGTCATCCTATATGTCATTTTTTGTCCTACGTGGTGTCCAACGTGTATTATGTCATGTAGAACTCATGTGTTTATTTATTTAAAAGTTGGATAGTTAAAGTATTTATTTGTGCATTATGAAAGTTGAAATATAACTCAGAAAGCCTTTTACTAGCCCAAGATCATTGACGAAGATCGGAAGATTTAACTATAGAAGAGGAAGCTATAAAGAAAAACTTGTTTATGGAAGAAGATTCTTTGATTTGGGTTGTTCTTGATTTCTTGGGTTTATTCTTGAGTTGATTACAAATGTACAATATCGTTCCATATTTATACTAACCTATGGATGGTTCTAGTCTTCTAGATACTACAATATTTAGACTATTCCATGATTCTCTACAAATATCTAATTTCTCTAGAACATCTACAAGAAAAATCTAGTAACATTATCTTCTATTCTAGATTATCAAGATTTTTCTACAAGATACTTATCCAAGTGACTATACTAGATTATTACAGAAACTTCCCTAAAAATCTAGGATTGTTTTAGTTCCAAAAAATCTTTATTTTTCACAAAGACGTGCATCCAATAATTATTTATTGAATTAATTTAATTATGCATACCTTGCACTAACGTGAATCGTATTGTTGTTAGTATAAGCTACTCCGGCCATGTCATCGACAAACATACTTACTTTTGGAACGTTTTTGCGGTCAGCCGGAAAATTCTGTTGGAAGATATTCCATATGAAGGAAGTGGCAGCTGCCAATGTTTGCTGACAATATTGAGCTCCGATATCTCGATTGAAACGGGCACCACCAGGGGTGTTGGCAGCCGTGTTGGTGATAGAGTAAGTCATTGCTTATTTGCTAAATTGCTATGCTAGTGATATGGTATTATGTTATAAAAAGAGAGCATTTATAGCTTTATATAGTTTTTTTTTCCATGTATGTGAAAACAGAGAAGTTGGACCTAGTCACTTGGAAAATTTAAATGGATGGTATATAAAAGTGGTCGATTTGGGAAAATGAAAATTTAAATGGATGTTATATAAAAATTGTCAGAGTGAAAAAAAAAATTTAAATAAATATTATATAAAAGTCTTCATAGTGGAAAAATGAAAATTTAAATTGATGTTATATAAAAGTCGTCGGAGTGGGAAAATGAAAATTTAAATGGATGGTATATAAAAGTCATCGATTTGGAAAAATGAAAATTTAAATAGATGTTATATAAAAGTCTGTCATAGTGGAAAAATAAAAATTTAAACGGATGTTTTATAAAAGTCGTCAAAGTGAAAAATAAAAATTTAAATGAATGTTATATATAAATCTTGATAGTGGAAAAATGAAAATTTAAATTGATGTTATATAAAAGTCGCCGGAGTGGGAAAATCAAAATTTCCAACTAATTTATGAGTTGGTCAAGTAATAAATGTTTCTTCTAGGACCCTATCATTTCCTTTCCCATTGCCAAATTTTTTCATATCAAGTTTAAAGAAATATTTTATTTGTCTAATATTAGTTATTTACTATATGATTTTTTGGAATATATAATCATATTTTTTTTATAAAATTAATAAATAATTTTATATTTAACTTCTAATTTATCGTTTACACCTATCATTAATTATTTAAACATTATAGTTATTACATTTAAATAGTAATATAGTAAAACTATCTTTTTATTTAGAATTTCTTAAAGATTATGTAAAATCAATAGTGGACAAATAAAGTAATAAAAATTACTTTCGTCCCACGAGTAAATATAGAGATATGTTATTTTTTTTATAAATCGATTAAAAAGAGTATATTGCATAAATTGGAATAACTATAGTGTTGTTTTATTCTTAATATTAACTACTCATATATTTCAAATTATTTCTCAAATACATTGTGATTATATTTCAATTAATATAAATATTATAAAATACATATATACTTCATTAATTCTTTTTTAAGGGAGTATAAGGTCTATAACGAGGAAGTAAAAAATAAACCAAAAGGATAATAAGCTACAGACATCGATGCAATGCTGCGGTATAAGATTCATATAAAGTAGTAGTAATACTTTATTGTTGAACACATATTTATATGCAAACAAATCGTAAGTCATTTATTTATAAAAAAATAAAAATATCTAAAATATATTTTTATTTTTAATTAAACTTATTGTAACGGTGTCAAATTTTACGAGGGACTTTTTACCTTACACTATTTAATAGTGTGTTGTAAATATATATATGTGTGTGTCACGTGACAGGAAACTATTATAATAATGCAATATTCATTATGTCCATCTGGACACATATATATTTTTAAAATACACTATTAAATAGTGCAGGGGGCAAAAGGTCTTTTACAAAATTTGATATTGTTATATCAATTTCAATCAAAATTTAAATATATTTCAGATATTTTTCTCGTTAATTAATTTAATATTAAAAAAAATTAATAATTAAACTCAAAAAAGGGAGTCAACAAGTCCACCACGATTGAGTCCAAATCACAAACAAGGACTTGCCTTAAAAATTAAATAAGTAGGACATGTTTCATAAATAACGGTCCTCTGAGGATAAAGGTAAGGGAAACAGTCCATTGTGAGGTTATTATTATTACTATTAAAGAAATAATATAATTGAAATGTAGACTAGCAATTCTTTGAAAAGTATAATTAATTAATTTTAACAGTAAGATTATTTATTGATTTATTTTCGTTGTCCTATAATTTTATGTTCTTAACTATCATAAGTTATAGCCAATGATCTTTAGCCGGCCGAAAGATTATGTAATTCTTATTTTAGTGAAGCAAAATGCATTTATCAAGAATGGCCAAATGGTTAGATTATTTGTTTGATTTATAAATTAAATAAGTGGGATTGAGTATTTAATAATCAATTCATATTATTTTTCATAAAATATGAAGAGTTGGTGGTCTAGGTGGTCACTCAATTTATGGTTAATGTTTAATGGATTAAATTTGAATGATTAAAATTTTAAATATGAAAATCAAATGCTTTTGAAAGAAGTTGAATATAATTAATTAAAATTCAGAGTTTTATTAATTAAGTGCAAATATATTAGGTTTAAGTTACTCAACTTTGTTTAATTTTTTAAAAATCGTTCAACTTTGTGTAGATAGTTTTGATGGTTATTTTAGTTAAATATCTAGTTTTTGGTACCTATTTAATGACGTGATAATTACATATTTTTAGAAAAAGTATTTCAAAAAATTAAAATAACATGTAAATTTATTTAGGGCTCAACATATCCTAAACTCAAGTCAGTTCTTGACCCGACCCTCTAATGGGTTAGTTATACAAAAGGTCATTTTAATAACATTTGATACGATTTTGTATCATTTTTTTGATTAAATATGAAAACATTATACGCTCGATGTATATATGAGTTTACTGGAAATGACTTGTAACTTTGAGATTAAAATAACGCAATTGCTGAAATAATTAAGAAATTAACCATTATACATAAATGTATCATTTAACTTGACTTCATATAATATTAATGTTCTTCAATTTTGGATGTATCATAAGCACTTAAATTTTTGTAAAATTAAAGAAGTGATCATATGTATTACATTTATAATATGTGTCTTATATGACATAAAACTAAATTAGTTATGTATCTCATGTGAATTGTCATGTAAGACGTGTGTGTTTGCTTGTTCAATTTTATACAATTTTAAGTATCACTTGTGTTGTTGTGCACGCTCAAAGTTGAAGGACATAGATGTCAACTGAAGTCAAGTCAAATGACATATTTATATATTATTTCTAATTTTAAACTTTTTTTTTTATGATTAGCATACATGTATACTACTTAGTTTCTTGAAATTAATAGGTGCATTTTGTTCTTATGAAATTAATATGACATAAATCTTTATACACAGTTTTATTGTTATAAATCCATCACATTGAATTTGAAAGACTATCGTATTAGAAACGAGATTTGTGTACCTGTTAACAACAACAGAAGATCAACAAAATTCTTTTGAAGAATTGCTCCAAGCCAAATTTTGAATCTTTAGGAAATAAGGTAATTGTTTTACAAACAAAGTGTCAATTTATCTGAAAAAAGGAATTTGTGGTTCTCTTTTGACGGCCCTTTCGTTTTTCATTTCCATGTCCTCTTTTCTCTTATTTCCTCTCCCCTGATAAGAGTAAAAAATAATCTTAAAATAGGGAATGAAAGTGGTTCATTTCCCTGAAAACTGTTCCTACTTTTTTTTCAAAATTCTATTTTTTTTTTTTTTGGTTCAAAAAGTTTATCAAATTGGGTCCGATCGGTCAGATCCACATGAGCGATACATGACCAAAACTTACATCTCACACTTCGCTTCATGGTGGAAAGACCCAAGTTAATACAATATCAACTAGACACACAAGTCATACGACTAATAGTTCGTGCGACCCGTGAACATCAAGAGCTTAACTATAGGATTTTACTAGCTCCACACATGAATTCAATCTCATGTGGGAAGAATTCACTATTAATATGAAGATATCATTATTCACAATACCGAAAACTTCATTCACTACTTCAACAGTTACTTATTCGATCCCTTGTCCTTTTAAAGAGGTGAAATCATGTAAATATTTATCTTTACATAAACAATTACACTCGACTATAATAGTTGTGTATACAAATTAAATTGTTCATTTCATTCATCTTTCTTTTCTACTCAAATCAATCTATTCCATATCAACTACTTTCCTAGACATGCATTGCATTACCAAATCACTCGTGATTATTAGTAACATACTAAAGTAGCAACACTGATCGAATCTTCAAGAAACAGTAAAAGGTCAAAGGATATTTCAATGAAAAGTTAATTTAACTTTTCGGGACCTCACATAGTGAAAAAAAAAGGTACCATTCATTCATTAGCCCATTGATTATGAAGGCAATAATAAATACAAAAGTTGTCGTCAATAAGATAGGGATCATCAAAACACCAAACCATCCAATGTAAAGACAGTTTTCAGTGCGCTTAACACTCGTGGTTTGAGACACATTATACGATGTTTACATCTTATACTAGTGCATGTGTCTCATGCTCTCAATTATTCAACATCGTACACCTTTGGTCTATTTAAATCCGAGTTTCTCTCTTTAGTGATCATCAAACTGATTTTTTCATAGAGATTCTTGTCTGGTTTATAAAATAAGTTATAATATGATAGTGAAAATCATCTTTTCACGTTCTCTGACGTAAGATGCAATCTCGTATCAGATCAATCTTGATACTTGCCTGACACACTTTTTATTTATAAAACATCATAACATTCATATGAAATATGAAAATAAATTTGATATTCTTATATTGATGATAAAATTACAACCACTAAGTTGTTTTACAATACATATAATTATCATATCTTACGCAAACCTACAACCTTAACATATTTCTCAAAAATAAGTCTCAAGATATTACTTTGTAAAAGAATTAACTATCATTTCACGAGTAGGAATGTATTGTAAATTTGTTTCTCCACTTGCTACTAAGTCTTTCACAAAGGATGTCAATGTGGTTGGTCTTGTTATAATTGGATCCTTCGTGCATGCAATAGCCGCTTGACTGTCACAATCACGGGACCCTTAGAATTCTTTAAAGAAGAGTGTATTTATCAATTATTACATTTATAATAATAATTTTTAAATTAATTTCTCAATCAGTGAATGTGATCGTTATTCACAATTATGAAAGATACTTAAAGACATTTGAATAAGATAGATCTCTACATTCTACTATCCATAATTCTTATACGTATTTCTTATTTTATATTAATCATCTTTTATAACATATTGTCAACATAAAACTCATAAACTAAAAATAAAGTTAACTCGACAATTAGATCATGGAAGTTGTGACTTACTCTTTTTTGTTGTTGGTGATTTATAAAATTTTAATTCTCTGAATATAACATGTTATCAGTACTGTTGACCATCTTTCACCACGTAAGCACATATAAGAAGGATAGTATCCCTACTATATCTAGCCTC